TCTTTCTTTTCTATTTTTAGAGGTATATTTAGGAATCACACCCTTTCCCCATCATGCACCTTTGCACTCTTAAGGAGTGCGGTATTATACAAAGACACTCTTGAGTTACACAGATCTGGTTCTAGAACGTGCTCTGCCTCCAGCCTGCTGTGTGGATCTAGGCAGGTCATTTATATATATATATGCAAATTATAGTAAAAGATACACAGCATTCAACTTACCACTTTCAAGTGTGCAGTTCAGTGGCATCAAGTACATTCACACTGCTGTGCAATCATTGCCAGCATCCATCTCAAGAACTTTCTCATCTTTCCAAACTGAAACCTGTCTCCATTAAGCAACTCCCCACTCACCTCTCAGCCCCTAGCAACCACCCTTCTCCCTTCTGTCTCTATGGATCTGACAACCCTAGGTATCTCATGGAATTACGAAAGGTTCATAATATCTTCATGGCAGGGTCCCTTGGTAGGTTAAATGAGATCACATATGTACAGTGACTGCCTCAGAGTCTAGCATATAATAAGAGCTCAGTAAGTATAGCTTCTTTTCGTCCTTCTCTCCTTTCTTCACATTAACTTGGACTTGAACGTAGCCCAAGATTGCACCACACTTAAAAAAAAAGTGTTTACAGGATAAAATGACACCCCCATCTCCCCAACTAGGTATTTTTTCTTTAAAAAACATATTATTTCTAAGCATCTTACTCCTTTCTAGTACAAATGATTTCTGAACCTTAACTCAGACTTCCACAGTCCCTTCTGAGATGGAGTAGAAACTAGGTGGTCACGCATGGTTTAGAGGACACTCACCGGCAAGGAATTCATTTGAGGCATAGCTGCCTTTATATGATGAATTTATTTCTTGGAATTTAAAAATATAAGTCAAAGGTCTGGAAATCAAATTCTTAAGAGGCACAGAGTGCACATAGGGAAATGGTCCACTGTAGGGAAGAGTTGGCTTGTGGGGCCCAAGGTAACCCTCCAGTGACTCATCTGTACACCCTGGGCTTGGCTTCAGCAGCAGCACAGACAGAGGTGCTCGGGTGGGAGGCAGACGGGAGGACCCTCAGCAGGGTGGGTGGGAGCCTCGCTGGTGCTGTGAGGTTCTGCAGCGTGGGGCAGGTAGTGGCACAGAAAGCAGATGCCCCAGGTGGGGTATTCTAGAGGCCCCACACTTTCCAAAGACCAGAGGAGTCGCCCCTTGTCCCTCTTCCAGCTTCCTCATTTCTGGACCGACAGGCCCACTTGCTGTACTTCTTGCTGGAGACTCGGGACTCTTGTTGCTTCTCCTGCCTGCCTTCTCTGTCCAGCCTCCCGATGACCTTTCTCTGGACTCCTGTGATGTCACCTGACCTGTCACCCTATTGTGATGGTGCCCTCTGGTTGCTCAGGAAAGGCCTTTGTTCTTCTTGTCATTGTGACGGGCAGAATGGTGTCCTTCCCCTGCTAAGTCCATGAGAGTGGCTTTATTTGGAAATAGGGTCTTTTGCAGATGGAGTCAAGCCAGTGTGGCTAGGGAGACTCTAAGTCCAATGACTGGTGTCTTTAGAAGAGGAGCAAATTTGGACACAGACACACAGATACAAGGTGGGAGGAAGGCCATGCAGCAAGGGGGCGGAGCTGAGGGCATCTACCAACAAAGGAACATCAGGACTGACAGCAGTTGCTAGAAGCTGGAGAGTGGCTTGGAGTAGACCCTCCCTCAGTCACTCCAGAATGAACCAGCTCCGCTGACACCTTGAGTTTGGACCTCTGGCCTCCTGAGCTGAGATAGTCAGTTCCTGTTGTTTTAAGCCACCACCATGGGAGAGGAGCACAGCCATCATTCATATCCTGGCCTCTCTTAATTGTGGCCCCTTCACATTCGCTCTTTCTTACTGGAATTTGCTGATTATTGACAGAGAACAAACACTTGTGAACCCATCGCTGGTAGGAGCTTCGGATCAGCCCTCAACAGTTTGAGATAAAATACAAGGAAGGCACTTTAGCGTTTTTCTGTAACATGTCCTGAGTTGCTCATTCGGTCTCTGTGAACGGCCACTGATCCACACAGTGGGATGAGGGAGGAGAGGTCCACTCCAGCTCAGCCTCTCGTGCTTGCTACCACCAACCTCATGCGCCATGTCTGGCTGTGGCTTCACAAACACTTTCACAGTCCTGTGGGTTTTGAAAGGCTCCACCTTCTGTGGGATGTTTAGAGGCAGGTGCTGGTGCCTTCACACGCACTCTGTTGAGCTAGAGGTGGGAAAGAACCTTGACTGTGCATCGTTAAGAATGTCAATCCCGGGACCCACAGGCTCTTCAGTGAAGAGCTACACTTGACAGATGGCAACATTCTCAAATATGTGACTCAGAGGCCAGCCAGTCACATGTGACTGTGCTAAAAAGCACATCTCTTCAATCTCACACTACATGGTTTTACTGCACCAATACTGGGCATTTCCTTACTGTGTTCCACACAGAAGTATCCCCAGGACGACCAGGGGTGTGAAAGCTGTGGCACCGAGGTCAAAGGAGTTTGGATGAAACAAAGTTAAACAAGCTTTTCTAGTTCAGGACTTCTCAGAGCCTTTGCCATGCTGATGTGTTCAGTAACATCCTAGGAGAGCTGAGTCTACTGGCCATGAACTCTTCTTGCTTTAGAATAGCTGTTACCATTTGCAGGCATGCTGGCATTTCCCAGAACTGTCAGAGAACCACTGACTGTGATGTGTCTCAAATTATCTTGCACTTCATCTCACCACAAAATTTTTTTGCTAGTTATCTCATTTAGGGATGCTTTATTTCCATTTCAATAATGTATGCTCTCTGACAAACTCTCAAACATTTCCCATAAGTTGTAAATACACAAAAAATGAATTGCACTCAACAATTGTGACTATTAGTAATGAGCAGGAAGAAAAATCATTCACTCCCTCTATTTACCAGTCATGGGAACCTGGGCAAAACCATGAGCCTCTAATCTCACAGATCATAAAGACTACATGCCAACATGGAAAGCCCTTAACACAGAATGTGGTACACAGTAAGTGATTAATAGATGTGGATGATCATTGTTGTGAAGTGTCAATGTGCCCTCGAGAAGCTGTGATTCTGCTGGAGAGAGAAGACTTGCACAAGTGAAGAGATGAACTTGATGCTGGGTGGTGGGGTCTCAAGGTAAAAATGAAAGAACACATATTTAGGGGTACACATGTCCTACATGACCGTGCACATTTTGGATAATGAGTAAAGGTGGATGGAAACTGAATGATGTTAGGATTCTGTGGGTATTCCTCATTTCACCATTCAACCCAGAACAGTCTCTGTCTTCCTCTTTGAGTGTAAGAGGCCCAAGATAAGTGTGCACAGCAAAGGACAGCATGGAATGGACTCGTGGGCTCAACTCCAAGAGCAGAGGTGGGACTGATGGGCGCACGTTTCAAGAAAGCAGTCGTGCACAATGCAAGAAAGAACTTTCTACCATGAAAAGTTGTCCTTAGATGATCTGGCTCTGGGGTGCGTATTCCCTGTACAAGAGATGTTCTCACTAGGCTGGACGACTTTCTGCAGGTATGACAGGAAGAAAATTCAAGTATCCTGGGGTGGTTGGACCAGGGTGACCTCAAAACCGTTCGAGTGCCAACTGGTCATGGCTCTGCACCACGATTATGAGTTCCAACAATGTCACACAGAGATTCCATTTAGTTTTACTTATTTTTTCCATAGTGTGAAGCCACAGGCAGATAAAAGAACAGACGGTCATACAGGTTTCAAGTCTTGGTTTCATCCTTGCAGGCTGGGGCAAGTGATGCCATCTAGCGAGTACCCATGTGCCTTGCCCGTAAGATGGGATGATGACCCCTGAGTGATGATATACTCACAAGGCAAACAGCACTTACTGGGCCTTCAGTGAATCCTTAGTCTTTCTTGGCTTTTCCAGAAAAGCCCTGCAGAGACTGTCCTCAAGGGTAGAGAAAGAAATATTTCCTTTCTGTAGGTGGAGTCAGGAGAGGGTTGATTGGAAAGTTGAGAAAGGTAATGTAAGGCTATGGGGAAAAGAAAAAGTCTGGAATACAAAGGCATTCACTGACTTTTGGCCAATTAATCTATTTACGCTTCTGAATTACTAAATTAGAAAATGGCACCGCCTCCAGCAGCCCGCAATATCCCAATGTATGGATACCATGCAGATACAATGTGATGACTTGTATCACTGGGATGATGAGTGCTTGTGCCACCTGGATTCTGACATGTTGGTGACACCTGTTTTTGTATCTTTGTCCTTAGCCCGACTGTCCTTGAGGAGAAGAAGCTTTTTGCTAGGCTCTGGGTAGGCCTCATGTACCTGGCACGTAGTAGGGGCTTATTACTGTTGCTGCATAAGAGTGTGGGTTCCTGCAGTTAACTCATGGTGCCCCTTTCCAAAATCCACTCCTATTTAGCCTCGTCACGTGGTTGATGATGGGGAGGTGGGGATAGCAAGGAACTGGAGAAGGGACCATCCACCTGCCCCCTAACTTTTGCTCTGTTGGCTAATGTTAACATTAGCTCTCAAGGTCAAAGCCTCGGCCTGGTGGGTTAGAATTATGTTGAAGGAGGGAGAACAGCCTGGCCTTTAAAATACACCATGGAAATACACTAAGAAGATAAACTATAATTTGAGCACCATGTTTTATCTTCCTAAGAATGAAACAATAGATAAAAGGCACATTTCAATGCTTAAACATTTAAAAATTTCATTTCTTTGTATTTTATAAAACAAAACTGTAATGTGGCTAAAAAGCAAAGATCTTGAAAGCATTAAATCTCTCAAAGGCAATTTTTTTCATACTCAAGCTTTGGAAAAAGAGATGGTTAATAAAAACAATAATGAATTCATATAAATTCTGAAATAAGTAACATCTGCTGAACACCTGTAAACAAATTTGAGTTGGCGTCATAGAATTCAAGATGTTACTTGTGACCAGTTTATTAAGACTGTCTTTTCAGAAAAATAAATTTTAATTAAAAAAGATTCACCTGCCAAAAGTCAGCCACAGTCGCAGGAAGTGGTCCCTGGGTGGCGATATACGCAGGGTTCCTCGGGTCATGATCCATCTGCAGAGACAAGACCACCGAAACAGGATTAGCTAGAAAGCTAGGAAAGCAACTGGGAAATAAAGCCTAGGTGCAGGGGAAGGTGAGGTGGCATCTCCTGCACTGACCACCATGCCACACACAACTTCTGCCAACTGAGAACCCGCTGGGGAGCTTCTCCCCCACCACCCTTCATTGATTCAGAGGAGCACCCAGCACTGGTGGGCCCTGGCCATCTCGAGTTCTGAGTCTGGCCCATTGTGTCTGAAATGCTTTCCTCACACTGCGGGAGAGGTTCTAAACACAGCCTCTCTAGAAGTGAAGACCAGTGGCCTAACAAGACCAGAAGGCAGTCCATGAGCCCACTTGGCAGGTACAACCCAAAACATAGGCAATGTTTCCAGATGCAGATGATCCCAGAGCAGCCCAGTCATTGGTGTCAGTGTGGACGCCCGCCAAACCCACCCAGGCTACAAGGCGTGTTCAGAAAAGTGGACCTGCTCGTTTAGAGACACAGGGCTGGTTGGGACAAGGTCAAATTGAGGCTCTGACAGAGAGTAAGCAAGTTCACCCAGCCAGGCCCATGGACAAATGTGCCAATTTCCTGGGGAAAATGAGTCCACTGAAAGTACTAACTCATCTCACGTGGTGACTGGTTTCTGTTTATCCTGAAATAGGGGTGCAGGCCAAGTCATCCTGGGCCTAGGTCGGTGGCTCTGAGCCCAGGGCAGCAGGCCCTTCTCATGAGTTGTTTCCTGTTCTACCTACCAGACAAGAGACTGAAAACAAAGAGGATGCAATTGTGGACTTTCTGGCTCTCAGATTTGTCCGAATGCATCCTGTTAGCGCCAGTAGGGGAAGTTTGACTTAAAAGACCTTAATTATAACATTTAATTCAAAGACTGATTAAGCAGGGGAAAATACAAAACGAACATAAGAACAAAGCCTTGAGAAGCAAGTAGGATTAAAGCACATGTCTGAGGTTCACTAGATGGCCAGGGTTCTGCCCCCAGATGGCAAGCCTGGGCCACCCTGAAAAGGACAGAAATGCTTTGTCACCACCATCAATCCGAAGTCACTGGCCAGGTCCTTCTCACATCTCCCAGAAGGATCCACAGAGACCAACCCCAGAAAAAACCAGGATGCGAGGCTCTGGGTCGGCAGTTGCTTGCGTATCAGACGTACACGGGCTTTTATTCTTTCACGTCTAGAACTACAATGTACTCCTTTGCCATCAGGGTTTGATTAAAGATTTACAATGCTCTATACTTAAAGACAATTGCTAAAAATATGTTTCTGAGCACAGCAGAAAATGAGAAGTCATCCCAAGTCAACACACGAGGATGTCAGTGGCAGGCCCCAGGGTCACCTTAAAACACGGCGGTGCATGTGGGTTAGCGGAAGAGTGGACACGAGGCACATTTTCTTTAACAGGGATCCAGTGAGTCCATGCACAGCCATCACCAGCTTCAGAGATGACGGCTGTCAGCACAAAAGAATGCACCGAATGCACCTTATAATTATGTTCCTCAAAAGAGGGAAGAGCATAAAGGAACAGATGTAAGTTATTCTAACAGAACAGCAATATGATGCTAGCTGGGGGTGGGGGTGGGGGGCGCAGGGAGAAAAGCTTTTTGTGCATCTGATTTAGTGATTCGTAATTAAAACCGGACCTCGTTTTGAAATTCACCACAACATACACAATACAGGTAAAATTATGTTACTCTCACTGAAAGCCCCAATTAAAATGTTTCAGTAGAAAAACGCTCAGCAGAAATAAGGAGTTTTGATTTTTTGAAACATGCATTTGTCGGGGTGACAGCTATTTACAGAGACCTCTGTCTCTTCCCTGCAAATAGTTATGCGTGAAAAGAAACCCCCACCTCTTTCTCAAATGTGCTTTTTTGCCCAAAGCAATTTCTGCAGCAACACATTTTAAAATTCACATTTAAACTAGCCCATTTAGTTGATTTCAGAACAAGAACTATGTGATTAAAAGTAAAAATCTGGACAGGGTTTCAGAAAGATAAATAAGGCAACCTTTGTGATAGGTCTGTATTGTTACCGTGTTTAAACCCGTCACCTGCTCAAGTGCCCTAGACAGAAGCAGACGCCTGGAAGAGGACAGGTGAACAGGGAGTTTGGGCCCACACAGAGCAGGCTGGGACTGGCCCTCACACCTCCCTCCCGCTCAGCTGCTATCCATGGCTGCTACTGGGAAGGCAGTCACAGCATAATGATCCAGAGTGGTGAGATGTGTCATCAGCTTAACAATAATTCAGAAGAAAATTACAATTATTTCATTCCATGCACATCCTGTTGAACAGAAAGTAAATCTGGGCAGAAACATCTTGTGCGTGCAACAAATGTGAGGCCATGGGAAGCCTCATCATGGTTTGATGTAGCTTTTAACTGAATGAAAGTAAAGCCAATATTTAACTACACAAACAGAAGTTTTATCACACTTAAAACTTTCAAGCAGGATATGTGCATCTGAAGGCAATAAAGTAGGCTTCTACTAACACTCCTCTTCCCATGAGAGCATCGAGTGGCAGCCCCATATGGCAGGTGTGAGTCTTTATCTGTCTTCTCTAGCTGATGATCAACATAGGACCCATTCTGGCTTCCTCTGATCTAGTCCCTATTGTCCCCCTCTTGCTTTCTTGCGATTTTCTTTGTAATATACTTTTTCTTTGTATGAACATTATGCTCCCACACATAAACTGTGTAACTGTGGACAAAGGACAGTTAATGTGTCTGGGTCTCAGTCTCAGTGTCGGTCAAATGGAGGTGGTTGGAAAGCAAGGAGGTTGGACAATGCAATTTCTAAGTGTCTTTGGCTCTGGAATTCTGTATGCATATATGTGCACAGATTCATCCATGCGTGTGTGTGTTTCATGTTCTGGCACTAATCTTGAAAACATCAGTGACAACCTGTAAATCTGTTAACACCATGCGGTCGGGTGGTCTGAGGCCTGCCAGCACATGCCCACGCTCTCTCCTGTGACCCTCATGAAAAGGCAGGGCTCCGTACTTTCCAGTGGTACTGAGTAGGTGGACACCGGAAGGGTGAAGCGGGGGTATTACTGAGCACTTTCTCCCCTAGTGGGGGTTTCTACAGCAACACACTCCACCCAGAGAAACCAGTATCACAGAGAATCCGATGTGACTCCTTCCGAGTGACTTCACAGAAAGAACGGTCAGAGGGCAAGTACTATTAACAATATAATTCTGCTTGTACTACGTTTTTCATTTTTCAGAAAAAACCAAAAACAAAAGCATGTGTTTGTGTGGAATCTATTATCCCCTACTAGACTTCTTCTTAGGAAAACTAAAATAAAATAGAATACAGGTAGGCTGTCTTTCTAAATATTTCTAAATGCAGAGTTTGAAAACAACCTAGTCATTTGCCTTAAGTTATGGGACAACAATTGATAAGCAGGTACGGGTGACTTATTTTACTTTTAGAAACTCATTTGCATTAAAAGCTTAGCCATCGCCGGGCTCGGTGGCTCAGCCTGTCATCCCGCGCCTTCGGGAGGCTGAGGTGAGTGGATCGCCTGAGCCCGCGGGTGCGAGACCCGCCTGGGCAGCGAGACCTCCTCTCTACAATCAATCAAAAGATCAACCGGGCTTGGTCGCACGCGCCTGTAATTCCGGCTACTCAGAAGGCGGAGGCGGAAGGATCGCTGGAGCCCAGCGGGTCGAGGCTGCAGTGGCTGGGAGCGGCCACTGCACTCCAGTCTGGATGACCGAGTGAGTCTCCAACTCAAAAAAAAACAAACAAACAAACAAACAAAACTTCGCCATAATTTTCTCAGCATTCCAAACAAAACGAATTTAAAAAAAGAAGCATCCAGCATATCAATACCATCAGACTGTGTCCTGCAGCCCTGAAGAGCTCAAACAGAGTCACGGTGGTCAAGGGCCATCTGTGGTGGGGCAGGAGAAGGGAGAGCCAGTTTCTGCTCCCACATCAGCCCCAGCCTCTGTTAGCTGAGACCCAAAAGTCTCAGGAAGGATCTAGCCAACTTGGGGATGGGTGTGGGGTACATGACCTTCACTCTGAAATCTTACACAAAGAGCAAGTGTGCATATCATCTGTAGGCATTTCTATCTGCCTGCCTCCACACTTGCTTTTTCTAACATTTAAAGCAAATTTCGCAGAACGCCTTCCTAAAAGCAAACAAATATCAGGTCTGAGTTGTCAAGTTGCTTTTCCAGACTCCAAGTCTTAACACGGGACTGTATTGGGAAATTGTAGCTTTGGTAACCAACAGTGGTTACTAGTGGGAGAGAGACTGACTTATGAGCTTGAGTTGTGTTTGTATTTTATTCTTAAGAGTTAAGATTTATTTAAGTAAAATATCAATTATAAACCATAATTATATGCATAGATGTTTGGTGTTAAGTATTTTCTGAGAACCAAAGAATAGGCTCCCATAATTGTTCAATTTCTTTTGATATTCAGACAACCTGATCTCTTCTCCCTTTCTAAGTAGCCATTCTGCCCCTACTTAAATGGCAAATGCATTCTGAATTGAAAGTTTGTGTATATATTTTACTATATTATTTATTCAATTTTTATTTTTGTAGAGACAAGGTCTTGCTATGCTGCCCAGGTTGGTCTTGAACTCCTGGACTCAAATAATCCTCTTGCTCTGGCCTCATCAAATGCTGGGATTACAGGCGTGAGCCACTGTGCCTGGCCTGAATTAAAACTTTAAACCATTTTTTTCTACCTTGATTTACAGTGGAATGAAGAATTAAGCTTATTTTTAAGTGTCATTGGGAATTTCAGACTTTTTCCTGGTAATAAAATCTGTGTGCTGTGTTTGTGCGAACTGTCGTGGTAATGACATTCCTCAGTCTGGTGTCCCTAGTAATAGCCGAGCTGAGTTTTAAAATGTAGCCCATGGGCTTCTCTTCAGGCACCCTCCAAGGGAAAACAGAATTCCCATCTACTTTCATGACCTCTGATTTAAGAGCGAAGATTGCACATTATTTACTACTGGATGGCTTCCTTGAAATTTAATGAAGACTGAGCACAAATATGACAGATGTAATTATCATAGTTTAGTTCTGCACAGCCAGGGTCTTCCTGTGCTATAATTGTGAGCTTTTCACTCAACTGCTGCTAGGAAGGTCATTATCATTGTACCTTCAGTTATTTCAGAAAGAAGAGGCACCATCGATTTCTTCTAGTTCATTCTTACTACCCAAGTTTGAAAAAAAAAACAAGAACAGTGGTATGAAATAAAGGAAAAACATAAAAGGTATGGTAAAATTACTTCTCTTTCTTGGCCTTGCCTTCTGACCCAAGTTCCTGCCCAGTAAGGCCTGGAAAGGTCATTCTGAATTTCTACTACTGGAAGAGAGACAGAGAATTGCACAGATGTGCAAGAATTCATCCCCTCTCACCCCAAACACCGCCCCCCAGCACCCGTGTATTAAAACTGTCAGTGGTTTCTAAGGACGATACAGTCACTGCACCGCACCAAGCGCTGCTGCCCATGTTGAAACCCGACCACAGCCTGGAATAGCCCAGATATCTCATGTTGGAGCCTAGCGAGTGGGGGAGAGTTGGGCACAGTTCTAACTCTGAACTCTCGAATTTTAGACTTATAAATAATGGCTTAATTTCTCATTCTGGATTCGCCAAATGGTTTATTTCCAGGAAAAGGAATTTCAACAGGAAGAAAATGGCTTTTCTTTTTCTTCAGACAGTTTTAAACTGCCATCACCATCACCCATTGTATAGGGACCAAATCCAGGCACTGACAGACCTAACTTCACCAGAAATGATGTTTTAGTCATAAAACGAGAGACTGGCAAAGTAGCAGGGCTTTGGTTTGATTTTTTTGAATTAGAATTGACAGAAAAAATACTAAATACATTACACCTTATTGAGAAAGAAAACTGAATGGCTCTGAGTGACAGTCTTTAAAACCCAGATGGAACCAATTGTTAGAGTCTACCTCCGCTGGAGGCCAAGACGTTACACCTCCTTAAAAATGAACACATAAACAAGTCTGGGCTCAGGTGGGTGTAGACAAAGTGCCAGCTCTTCACTCTGAATTCACTTCTTAAAACCAAGTATGCTTCCTGTGTGGGCTGAGAAGTGTCAGGAAATAGGACTAGCTTATGGCATACTGGAGTCTTCCTAATAAACTTGATCCCACAGGTACAAGTGAAATAAGTGGAGTGCACAGCTCCGAGAACAGTCTGCCATCGTTAGCTGCTGCTTGGAATCAGACGGGCTGAGGTTTCCACTCAAAGCGCCCTATAACGGAGCAAAGGGGCCAATGGACACTGTGGGCACCCTTCAGAATTTCCATCCGCTTTGTGACTCAGGAGACAACCCGCCCGCGCTTTCAGCCCTAGAACAGCCCCTCATCCTGCAGGCACCGTATTTTACCAAACGCACATCTGGAATTTTGTGGGATGTCCTTAAGCCTCCCTGAAGACCAGATTTGAGGAAACTGTTTAAAGGGGGAAACACTACAGTCAGCATTCACCATAAGTCCGCACCAAATCTTGACCTTCCCTTGCCCTTGGCTTAAAATGCCGTTGACTGAAGCCTCTAGAATTCCTGAGTTTGGACACTTTGCCTTTCCCTACCTCCCGTGATTCCAGCTTGACTCTGAACAGCCCGCCTGTGTCTCCCCTGACACCGGCTTCAGCCCCCCCTGCTCATTTGACCTCCCTTTGTCCACCTGGGACAGCTCCCATCTTCCCCCTCTCAGTTCCTGCTCCCCCCAGGGTTCAAAACAGGAAATTCAAGAGGATGAGAGTTCTGTGGGGTGGGCTGAGCGGAGCCCCCTGGGAAGTCACGAGACTCACGCTGCGTGCTGAGGGGGCAGCTGCTCCGCTATTGTCCCCAGACACAGAGAACAGTACCCTGAATAGTCGTCTCTACTCCTCCAACACGTCAGTCCCTGGAGACGGCACGGCCGACAACCCTCTCCTTCTCATAAAAGGAAGGACCCCACTCACTGGAAAAACCTAAAGGAAACGATTCTATAATTCTGAACCTGCCTCAGTGTCATTGTTAATAAAGGAGGTAAGTCTGGGTCTGGCTTTTCCATTTCTCCTGAATAAACGGGGAGTAAGTAGCTCTAGGAAAGAGGAATGCCACTGACATTATCCCCCCAAGCCATGGGTTCTCATCAAGAGACTGTCCAGTTGCTGGACATTCTACAAGTCCCTGAACCCACTGTCCAATGTGAGCCACAGTCTACTCTGTTCAGAGGACAGCCTTCACTGGCGAAGCAGGGTTGGGAGTGGGTAGGAGCCCGACAGGCAGGTTCAGCCCTGGCCACCTGCAGGAGACACATCACCAGCTCATCCCACAGAGTAGGGCGGAGACTTGAGTTCTCACCTGAGTTGGCCAATACATGCCACCTGAGAAAAAACCTAAGCCGACCCTTCCCTCCGGCACTGCACTTACGATGGGGCTGGCGTTGATATAGTCTGAGTTGCTGTGGCTGTTCTCTGATTTCAGCAGGATCCTGGAGTGGTCATCTGCACATAACACAAAAGCAGATGGTCAGAGGTCTGCACAACCCTCCCTCTGCCCAGAAAACATGCTACGCTGCTTTAGCAACGGACGTGGAATGCCCTGCTGGGCCTCCAGGTCGTCCCCGCGTTCTTTTCTTCTCAGACTCTGCTCGATGCTTCCAAACGTGCTTTCTCATGTTAGCGTTTCCCTCTCTCTCCTCCACTTTAATCCTACAACATAAGAGGCACACACACAGGGTGTGTGGGGGAAACCGATACCAAGTTCTCTGTAGAATTGAGCTATTCTGGTGTTTCTCTTATGTAAAGTTCAAATACCAAGGTTAGGTGTTCCTTTGTAATATTTTATGTAGTGTTTGCCTTTCAGTAACAGACATATTATAAACTTGAATACTGAGCAACAGATGGTCATCTAAAACATAAAGTTTTGTAGTCGATACATGGTTTAATCCTTGAGGTGACTGGAATTTAGTTTTTTTTTGATTATTATTATTTTTTTTTTTTAGAGACAGGATCCCACTCTGTTGCTCAGGCTGGAGTGTGGTGGCACGATCATGGTTCACTGCAGCTGCAACTCCTGGACCCAAGTGATTCTCCTGCCTTAGTGTCCTGAGCAACTGGGACTATAAGCACACACTACCATGCCCGGCTAAGTTTTCTTATTTTTAAAATTTTTTGTACAGACAAAGACTCGCTATGTTGCCCAGGCTGGCCTCTCAAACTGCAGGCCTCAAGCAATCATCCCATCTCTGTCTTCCAAAGAGTGGACTTTAGTTTTAAAAGAAGAGTAAGAGACCAAGAAAATGCAGGTAAAGAGGAAATACAGGAGAAACATACAAGTGGAGACTCAGTGACATAAAAACATGCCTTAAACAGGCAAAATAAGTTGGCTAATGTTGAAATCAACCACAGCAATGTGGATTAATGGCACTTGTAATTTGTCAAAGCATGATGTATTTGATACATGAATTACTCTTGGTTTGGATTCTGGAATAATGCCCTCCTGCTCACGGCCACAGCCCTCCTCTTTGCCTTGTTTTCAGAAGCTTTTTTTTTTCTTGCTTGCTTGTGTATTCGTTTTTTAATATAATATATATTTTTTATTTTAAAATTGTGGGGTACAGTTAAGGGTTAGGTATACAAATATGCATTGTGCAGGTACCCTTGTTGATGAAGTGTGTCCTCCCCTTCCTCAGACAGATGAACTTTTACAGCATGACCCTCCATGGGAAGTCTGGAAGTGACTGGGGAAGCAGACAAGGGCAACCCTGTGCCAGGTCTGGTGAAGATCTGAGGAGGGATGGCTGTGAGATCCCTTCCCACTCCTCCCGCTTCGAGGGTGTGAGGTCGGCCACTTTTTCTCTTTTCTCTGCAAGGTGCCAGGTGAAATCTGAAAGTGACATAGCATCTCAGTGCTGCAACCTTTTGCTGCAGAGAATGCCTTTGTGGTGCCACACACAACAGCGCCTATTTCCTTTTCTTCTGAGAAAATACAAACAACCCACGCTGGAGGCTTCATAAGCCAGGTGTTTAGCAACTGTGGGCTCGTCCTTTCTGGCCCTGTGTCCCCCAATTTCGACCTGTCTAGGCACTTCCTGCAGATGTCTGGCATGAGAAGGAAATGGCGCCCACCAGGAAGGAGCTTGTTTGTGGCAGCAAAGCCACAGAGACTTGTTTTAATGTGCTTCTTTCATTTCCCTTGGAGACTTCACTTAGTTTTTTAAAACAACACATCCTAGGGCTTGGGAAACTTGGTGAGTCTTATAAGTGACTATCTAGGAAAGCATTATCTATTAGAGATCAATACACTACCAGATTGGACGCCATCCTACCAACCCTCTTCAGACAGCAATTCTAGCCTCTTCCAGCAGAGACAAGATGGGGTAAGACAAAAAATATCCAGAGACAGGGAAAAGAATTAAGGAATCACTTGACATCACCTGGCACGTTCATATATGTACATATCATATGTATCCAGATGTTGCTGGAATGTTGTGAAGCTGCGGGTCACCCCCAACTTTGAGCAAAAGTGTGGATAATGACACAAAAATCCCAGGGACTCCATGACTTTGGGGCTCCTGCGCAAATTAATTCTTGGGGGAGTGAAAATTGGCAGTGGCAGGAAATTGAAATACAATTCACCAGAAAAACTGGTCAACTCTGACATCCGAACACACTACAAACACTACCCTCAAAATTAAGTTCAAGAAGCCCAATTTCACAGTGGGGTGCCACACAGACACATCAAAGCAAGATACGAGGCTTTGCTCAGAGGTAGGTACACTGGGCCTATTGTTGCAGCTTACAGAGAACTTGGGAATAAAAGAACAGGACTTCTAGCTGCTTCCAGAGGGTCCCAGAAGGTCACCCCAGAGCCCTGCCTCATTATAAATATTTTCAACACAGCCACCTTTAGGCACTTGTGATATCAGCAACCAGGGACCATTCCTAATTGTCTGAGAAACCTTTACAAAGAGCAGGGTCGAGAGGGAGCCAGGGCAGGAAAGAAGAATCGCAGCTCTGAAGTTCTGGGCTTCAGGCTCTGTCGGGCACTTTGTGCACAATGCGGCTTGGGATCAGCGGCCTCTGGTCTCTGTGTGGGCATCAGGGCAGCTGTGCTTTGGAAGGCTTCTCCTCACACCAAGGGGTCAGCACTGCCCAGCCCTGCCAGCAACAAGCGATGGAGCAAAGGCAGACATGCTTCCACCGAACTTGGCAGACAAGCATCAGCTGGGTTTTCTCATCAGAAAATTAAGAAGATGCCTCGTAAGTCTGGGAGTCTCCATGAATTCAAAATGCGGTCTAAGAGCCTGGTCATCTGCTGTGGGCACCGGAACCTGTGCTGGCATGTTCTGAGACCTCTGAGCAGATCTCTTTGCAGAACATTGTTTCAGCAGAAGGCATTTTCCCCAAGGTTGCCCTTTTAAAGATGGCATTGAGTTGAGGACCTATCTAAGCTTCAAAGCATGCCTGCCTCCTGTTGTAACATTTGATTTTGCGTCAACATATTGCTTTTAAAATTAACAGCAATTAAAAAAAATAAGCCATTTTGAATTTATACTGACAACACCTGGAACCATCCTGGAAGGGCCAGAGCGGTGTTGGCCAAGGCTGCAAGGAAGTGCAGATTTCTGTCTTGGGACAGCAACTGCTCAGCTAGCTAGTGGGTATTTCATTTGTCTGGGCACATCTCTGAACTATTTTGTGATCTGAAATACGTCTCTGAAACATTTTGTGAAAAACGTTTCCTGTTTGTCTTTTTTTAAGAGCTCTTATGGGAGCCAACCCGATGACAGCATCAAGTTCCTAAAAGTATCCTCGGAGTATCTTGAAAGACAGATTCCTTGAAATGCAAGGTTTAGTGAGGTTGCCTTTATCTTTTGATGCAAAAGCAGGGCAGTGCGGCCCGGGAGGATGATGCCATTCTTTCAAGGTCAACCCCAAGTTGAAGATGAAGCCAGGATGGGCCCATGAACAAACATCATGTCTCTCTCCTGTGCTCAATGTACTGAAGACTGCTCCTTCCTATTTCCAGATAAAACACGCACAACGCCCTTGGAAGCAAATACAATACGGTGACCAGAATCACAAGACAAACATTTGTAATAATGTAGGCACTTATATTTCCGTTAAGAGGGTGCATCTTTCAAAAGCTGAGTGTGAGAACTTACTCAGAAGCCAGGAAAACATAGGAATTCACATAGCTTTCCTCTCTGTATCTGGCCCTGTAGCTGTTTAAGTTATTTTCTTCTCATGAGATCCACAGTAATGTCTTATCAGAGAGGGAGAGAGAAAACGTGATCCAAAGGAAACTTGTTGAATGAACCCACTGTGCGCATTCCATTTCTGAATGCCTAAAGTATCTATCATGATCTGGTGCCTTGCTCACGAATATTTTATGCTTCTTTTATATTCTGTATTTTCACATATAGGATACAAAAGTAGTTCCACATAGATCCTCTCAGATCATCCCAGATCACTGTGCCATAGACAAAACAGGGAGCATTTCCCCATTTTAGGCTGAAGAAAACTAAGGCCCAGAAAGAACACATGATTTACTTGGCCGCATGGCCAACAGGACAGTTCAGGGTTTGAATCCTAGCCCTGCCGCTAGTTAGCAAGGCGATGTTGGGAAAATTACTCAGTATTTTACAGTGTCAGATCTGTCATCCAAGATATAAGATAATAATATCTAGCTCACAGGATTGTTGTGACAAATAGCATGTAGCAAGGAGTTTAGCAATAAGTTGGAGACTGCTGACGGGCATATGCCTAACTGAGCAAATCAGTTCAGTTAGCAAAATGTGTTGATGGTATGCTGTGCTGTCAATAAATACAAAATGATTTTCATCAATGCCAACAGCAGAAACAAGTTTCAGAACTTCTTGATTATGATTAGGGCAAAGAACCTTGGAAGATGGCCAAGAGGAGCACTTCTGAGGACACTGTGGCTTTGTCACGTAGGAATGAAAGATCTAGAAACGATCTCGTGTCCCACCTGAGCAAAACGCATGGGAACTTTGTTTGCCTGCAATGTCACCTTGCAACACAAATCCCAAGCATGGTATTTCCTCACGCCTCCTGGTCATGCTATTCCTCTTGTCCAAGTAGACTGTTCCACAGGGGTCAATAACCTTCATCTCACTCATAGACACATTCTGTGGGGTTGCTGTTTGGAACATGAATGAGGAACACGTATGCAGAAGTCACTAGTAAACATGGGTACTTAGCAATGGACTCCCTTCACTCACATATTCTCTAGGGTCTACAATTGTCTCAGTTTCCTGTGGAGGTTCAGATTCAGTTATCTATGCTGGCCCGATGCCCTCTTCTTTACTTTGATGGTGCCGCTAGTGGAAACATGGAGCACATCTGGTGGTGGGCCAGCACTCTGCTCCTCGAGAATCAAGGCTCTGAGTCTTCATTGGAGACTCGTGTAACCAGCATATATTTGACAAACGGCACCGGCACCACAAACTCCTTCTTCAATTTCATGCGGTTGTGTT